GAACACATTATACACAATCACATATCTGAATTTCTGGAAACACATAGTGTACTAACCAACTGTCAACATGGGTTCCGGAAGGGATACCCTACCTACACCCAGCTGGTACAGACAGTGCATGACTTTGCTATCTCTATTAATAACAGCAATCAAACCGACGCCATTTTCATGGATTTCTCCAAAGCCTTTGATAAAGTTTCACACCAAAAATTACTTTTCAAACTAGACAAAATTTTCAGGAACAACCAATTACTTAAATGGATCTTGGCATACCTATCAGACCGGGAACAGTTTGTTAATTTTAAAAACAGCAGCTCTTGTAGGCTAACGGTTAGCTCTGGCGTTCCGCAGGGTTCGGTGCTTGGTCCCATCCTCTTTCTGGTATATATTAATGATATAGTTGACAATATTCCTGTGAAAATGAAACTTTTTGCAGATGATTGCGTAATTTACTCTGAAATAAGCAGCATGTCAGATCAATTTCTTCTAAACGATGTCCTTCAAAAAGTTATCACGTGGTGTGACCAATGGCAGATAGCTGTAAACTTCGATAAAACTGTAGATGTGAGAATTACCCAGAAAAAGAATCCCAATTACTCTGTGAACGCAATCACTCTGAGAGAAGTAACTCAATATAAGTACCTCGGTTTATGGATAACTAATAATCTTAATTGGAATAAGCACATTGATTTTGTGATTGCTGCCGCGAATAGAAAGCTTTTCTTTCTTAGACGAGCGCTGAAACTTTTCACTCCTAATGTTCGTTTACTTGCGTACAAATCAGTAGTTCGACCAGCATTAGAATATTGTGTCGTTATCTGGGATCCATACACAAAGACAAACATCAGCAGGCTGGAAAACGTACAAAAGAAGGCTGCGCGCTACATATTTAACAAATTTGGGCGCACTTCAGTTACCGAACTTTTACGACGAGCCGACTTACCGTCGTTAGCACACAGGAATCTTTTATCGCAACTGAAGTGTTTCTATCAAATAATCAAGGGGCATTATAAAATAGATTTTTCAGATGTGATTTTTTTTTCAGCCGGGTACGCGACCAGACAAAGACACCAACTAACAGTCACCCCCCATCGCACACGTACTAACTGTTATAAGTATTCCTTCTTTCCCAGAACTATTTCCGATTGGAATAAACTTCAGAATTCACAAGTTCTACAGCCTTCTTTAAGTTTGTTTGAGTCCCACCTTAATTAGCATTGTATACCAATCCTCTGTTTTTTTTGTGTGTGTATTATTTGTAACAACTTTTTGTACCAGAGAAGAAGAGCCATTTCATCTGTGTTGAATTGTACAGTTGTTGTAAACCATGTATCCTTTTTATGCACTGTAACCCACCTGCTAAAATTCCTATCAGGGATTGCAGTATTTATAAATAAATAAATAAATAAAGATGACCAGCAGTCAAGTCGTCGTGGAAGGCTTCGAGCACCTCAAGTCGAAGAGAGCATGGCAGTACAGGAACCCAGCGCTGACCGTCAGGGCGATAGACGTGGCGGTAAAGAACCCCATTGTCCAGCTTAAAGTGCAGGAGTTGACGACGGAGTCGCGCGTTGGGTGCATGAGAAACTCCCGAAAGGTGGTCCATCATGCGTCTGCAGTTTGAATCGGACCGCTGGTGGGTGATAAATGTTGGCTCGTTGTCCGAAGAGGGTTGCCTTATTGTTGCGAGCGTATGAACTTTGGTCGATGTGGCGGTTGAGTTCTCACCAATGCTGATATGGGTAGTTGGAAGCGGGCAACGAGATAAAGCGTCGGCGTCTTGATGTTTTCTGCCTGACTTGTAAGTTATGTCAAAGTCGTACTCCTGCAAGCGTAGTATCCACCGACCCAAGCGTCCGGACAAGTTCTTCAGTGTAGAAAGCCAGCATAAGGCATGGTGGTCCGTAACGATTGTGAAGTGACGGCCGTGAAGATAGGGACGGAACTTCTGGACCGACCAAGCCAAACACTCTTGCTCAGTTATAGTGTAGTTCTTTTCGACAGGTGTGAGTACGCGACTGGCATATGCAACAACTTTCTCTAGGGAAGACTTGTCGCGTTGTAGAAGAACGGCTACTATACCAAGGCCACTAGCTAGTATGGAGGATAGTCGGTGCGGCCTCGTCAAAGTGGCAGAGCAGAGGTTCAGACGTAGTGCCCGCTTCAACAGGTCGAATGCCGTTTGACATTCTTGAAGCCACTGAAAGGGGACGTTGGAAACAAGTAGTTGGTGTAATGGAGCAGCAATAGAAGCGAAGTTCTGGATAAACCAGCAAAAATAGGAGGCGAGGCCGAAGAAAATGCGAAGCTCCTTTGGTTTTTCGGGATGCGGAAAATGAAGGGCTGCAGATATCTTGTCAGGGTCGGGCTGGATGCCATCTTTGATAACGACGTGTCCTAAGACCTTGATATATTTGCTAGTGAAAGAGCATTTCTTAGTGTTTTTGTGAAGCCTGGCGCAGCAAGGCACGTCAAAAGTTGATCCAATCGTTCTAGGTGCTCAGGAAACGTTGATGAAAAGATAATAATGTCGTCCAGGTAGCAAAGGCAACTTTTTCATTTCAGGCCGCGCAGCACGGTATCTATCATGCGCTCAAAAGTCGCGGGTGCGTTGCAGAGCCCGAAAGGCATGACGTTGAATTCATATAGCCCGTCGGAGGTTGCGAATGCCGTTTTCTCCTTATCGTCTTCATACATGGGGATCTGCCAGTACCCAGAATGCAAGTCGATGCTTGAAAAGAATTCCGCGCCTTGTAGGGAGTCAAGGGCGTCGTCAATGCGTGGCATAGGGTACACGTCCTTGCGTGCATCTTATTGAGTGCCCGTTAGTCCACGCAAAACCGCACAGAGCCATCCTTTTTATGGACCAAAACAATAGGAGACGACCAAGGGCTAGATGAGGGATGGATGACTTCCCGTTTAAGCATGTCCGCAACGTTTTCTTCTATAATTTTTCTTTCAGTTAGAGACACGCGGTAGGGACGGCGATGTACTCTAGATGTCCCAACAGTTTGAATTCGATGTGGTGTAGTATTAGTGCGACCCAGCTTAGACGAGCAAATATCGAAAGAATTTGCTTGTTTCTGTAACAATGCGAGCAGCTGCTGCCTCTGTGAATATATCAATTCGCTGCTGATAGTGGTAAAGGCGGAGAAAGAAACATGCTCACCGAGGCAAGGTTCTTTGGATGCGATGTCCTGAAGTGGCGTGACAAATACAGGCTCGAAGTCAGCAACACGGGCCGCAGTAGTGCCCTGTGGCAGTAAGATCTTCTCCGGTGTAGAGTTGACAGTGGTGACAAGTGCCGAGCCATTGCAATAACGAACAAAACTGGACGGAAGAACTATACCTTTGCGAACGCAAAGTGGTGACGGTGAGACCAATACATCCCCGTGATAGATGTCGTTGGACGTAATGCTGACAATTTGCTCTTGTAGTGGCAGCAGTTCGATGTCTTTTGCAGCGACCAGACGAAGTGGCTTCTGATTGTCGTCGTCAAGCATGTAGTCGGTGTCAGTGAGGTGAACGACGCGTTGTCCACAACAAATCGCCGCGGAAGCAGATGATAGAAAATCCCACCCTAAAATTAGTTGGTGAGAGCAGCGGGACAGGACAGCAAACGGAACATGATGGCGAATGCCGTCGATGAAAACATGCACAGTACAAAATGCGGAAGGGCGAATGACGTTCCCCTGGCCAGCAACTAACATGGGGCCATCGTAAGGCGTCATTACTTTCCTTAAATATTCACACAAATCAGCACGTATAACAGACAGTGTAGCACCTGTGTCCACCAAAGCATCGACTCGCACTTCTTCCACTTCTACAGAAACCATGTTACACGGGCCTGATGGAGGAATTTCAGTTCTAATTCCGAATGCAGTTTTTCCTCCACAAACTGCATCACTTAGTTTTCCGAATAAATATCAGAGGTGAATGAGGCAGGCCGAAGTGGAGAAGTGGAACGGCGGAAGGGCGAAAGCGAGCGGCGTCTCGTGTTTCGGCTGTTTCGTGGTGCAGTCTATGCAGGAGGAGATGGAGACCGGTGCGGGGGAGACGAATAACGCCGAACTTGATAAGACGCTCCGGTGTACAAATCCACTTCACGCACGTCGTTCCGACGCTCATCTTGCTGGCGCTTTCGGCAGAAATGAGATATGTGGCCGCGATAGCCACAGTAGTAGCATACAGGGCGAGACGAGCGCCACGGTGTGGAATAGAAGGCATTCGGGGCACCTGGAGATAGCGGGGCCAGGTGGGCCGAAGAGTCAGGGGGCACGGAATGGTAGTTCACCGGGGGAGCGGCAGCAACTGATGCATAGAATGGACGCGGCAATGTTACATGGGCGTCGCTGGAAGGCATGGCAGCAACTTGACGGTACGTGGATATAGGATGAAAAACAGGTGGCTGTATGGGCGCAGAGCCAGTCAGGGATGTAAATTTCTCTCTGATGATGTCACGTAAGGGCATTCTCGAAGGCTGTGTAGGTCGCGGTGTGGGAGGCGTGAAGCTCATGGACCGCAATTCTTCGCATATAATGTCCCGGATGAGGTCACTGCAGATGGCCATCTGACGTAGAGTGGTGGTCGCCAATGTCCGGTTGAAGGCGAACGGTGTCCAGCGCATCAAGGCGCTGGCATGTCGTCACGACATCAGCGATGGTAGCTGGGTTTTGCACAGCGAGGGCATGCCCACAGTATGTCCATTCTTTGAGGCAGCATCGTTTCCTACATAGCATTGTGTTGCTAGTGTATCCTAGATAAAAGACTTTATTATTTGATGCACACACTGCGGGCTCAAATGTTTGCTATTAGACAAGACTGCTTGCATTCGTCAGAAGTTCTGTTATGGGCATCAATTTCCCTAAATGAAGTTGAATTCGCTGGGTGGCCATGGACAGCGACTTCAAGGGGAAAGCACCTTCTAGTGAGGTCTACATATTGAACTTGTCGGGATGGTCATGTGCTAATTTGAATGATATGAACGCCCTTTCACGCAGCAGTTCCGTGCTCTCGCCACCTAGTGGTGGTGCAGGCAGCAGCAGCAGTGACGACACTCTGAGCAGTGGCAACCTCCACCGCAAGCTCCAGCGGCAGCTGACTCTCAACCCGACGTTCGACCCCCGGCTGTATCAGATGCGGGCCGCCGTGTCGTCGGGCCTCGTTCCGCCCCCTGCGGTAAGCCTGGCCGAGGCTGTGCACGGCCGCGCCGGAAGCCACGAGAATTTGCAGCAGCATCGAGCCCTTGGGCGACTAGCCAGCGACTCGGGCCTAGTCGCCGTTGCGGCGGGCGGAGGGTGGGGCACTCTGCCGGGGGCACACACTGAGGTGACACGCATCGCCAGTGCCCCAGACACGACGCGGCAGCAACGGTCGTTGCAGCAAGGGGCCACCATTCAGCGCCTCAGCAGCACATCGGACACCAGGTTAGTGCAAAGCTTTTCATTGAAACACAGCTGAGCATTGTAGTACTTGTCTGCAGGAAAACCTGGTTACAATAAACAGCACGTTTTGCCATAGTTTGATATCATATAGTTTGTCAAAGCTGCTTTTAACCAATTTCAGCTCTTATGTGAAATATTGTCAAGTCAGGTAAAAACATTCTAGTTAAAGTGCAGTAAAAGCTCATTAATTTGAACTTCACACAACGAAAAGAAATGTCTAAATGGATTGAATGTGCCCCCTGCGGTGGTCTAGTGGCTAAGGTACTCGTCTGCTAACCCGCAGAACGCGGTATCGAATCCCGACTGTGGCGACTGCATTTTCGATAGAGGCGAAAATGCTGTAGGCCTGTGTGCTCAGATTTGGGTGCACGTTAAAGAACCCCAGGTGGTCGAAATTTCCGGAGCCTTCCACTACAGTGTCTCTCAAAATTATATGGTGGTTTCGGGACATTAAAACCTACATATCAAATCAAATCAAAATTAATTGAATGTCAAATTATTGCATTTCACAAAAACAATAATCAAATGTCTATTGTGTACATCAATATGGTTTTTCTGTTCTTGTTTAGCATAAGAGCAATGTAAAAAAGTTAGGGATGGGCGAATATTTGAAAGTTTTAAATATTCGGTGAATATTGCATTTGTAATATTCATATTCAATTTGATAATCACATATTCGAAATTTTAAATATTCAAACTTACTCGAATATTCGTTCGCATATGTCACTGTGAAGAACTTATAATTTTGCCCATTTGCCACAATAGCCTCAGTAGATCATGCAGTGATTACTATGACTTCAGCACTAGTGCAGTGATGCCTGCATGGAAATTCATAGCAGTGCGATGAATTTGGCATCAGAGGCTAACATCATCATCACCAGCAAAAAGCGCGGCTCGTCGTTCTTCATGACGCTTGCGCTGTACGGGAGCTCGGGTTCACCAAAGCTATGGCTGACCGTAAATAAATGACGTGACACCTATGTTCTGTTGAGTCAGTGTCGTGCGTTGTAACAGTGGAGACGAAGATGGTATGCAAACCCACGCGGGCACAGCCCCATGGCGCTTACGTCCTGTCGGCAGCAGCTGACGATATCTCAGAAGATGAAAAGCTCTATACTATAGTGGCTCGTTAAACGAGTACTGGTCGCATGGTTAGGCCAATTTTCAAGGAAATAACTTGGGATGTTGTGCCGCTTACCATGTTAATCGATACGGGGTCACCTGTTAGCGTTATTTCAATGAGCCTGCTCAACCAGAATCAAAGCAGATGGCCGCCTCCAAGCAGCGCCACTCCAAAATTGTCATGTCTTTTGGGAGAACTTGCAGTGGTTGGAGAAGTGCACATGAAAGCTACCTGTGAGGGGCACAACATATAAGGCACACCCTGGTTATCGTTGATACACCTAAACCAGCGTTATGTGAAAGGGATACCATCAAGGCATTTAACGATTGTGGAGTGGCCATGTTGAGGCCAAATGTCGTCGCAAACATCAACACGAGCAAGGAAGGCCGCATGAACCAGGAACTTCACACTGTGCTCAAGGAGTTTGAAGATGTATTTGCGCCAGGTTTAGGAATATACTAAGGGGTGGCTGTTCACTGGTGAAGCTTATCCTGAAAAAAAACAGCCACGCCCCGCTTTTGCAAAGCACGTACGGTGCTTGACAACCAAGGTGTCTGATGGTTTGGAACGATTTGTTGCCGACGGTGTGATATCACCAGTTATGGCTGCAGAATGGGCACGCCAGTAATTCCAGCTGTTAAGACTGATGGGTTCATTCAACAGTGTGGAGATTTACCCTGACAGTGAACACGGCCATAGTGACTGAACAGTACCCACTACCCCGTGTGGATGACATCTTCACACGAATGAATGGTGATGAAGTATTTAGTACACTGGATTTGACTCAAGCGTACAACCAGCTGCCCCTGGACGACGAGGCCAAGAAGCTGACAGTCATAAACACTCACAAGAGTCCATTCTGCTTCAATAGGCTTGCTTTTGGGATTAGCTCAGCTCCGGCCATCTTTCAGAGGCATATGGATTCCTTATTCAAGGATCTCCCGGGTGTACAAGCCTATCTGAACGATGTCATAGTGGCTGAGAAGCGCAATAACACTTCATTGTTAAAGCAAGTCTTGCTGCGCTTACAGGACTATGGCCTCAGGCTAAACATCAAGAAACGCAAATTCAGACAAGAAGAAGTCACCTTCCTCGAACATAGAGTTGATGCTAATGAGCTCAAACCGAAGGACGACAACATTGAAGCAGTTCTTCAAGCACCGGTCCCCAAGTCAGTGAGCGAACTGAAATCCTTCTTGGGCTTAATCAACAATTATGCTAAGTTTTTACCAAACCTTTCCACAGTCCTAGCGCCATTATACAATCTGTTAACTAAAGGAGCTACATGGAAATGGCAGCAAGTACACGAGGAAAAGCAGTTGGAAAGGTTAAGCAGGCTATACAAGGGTCAAAGTTTTTGACACACTTTGACCCTGCAAACTTTTGAAGTTAGAATGTGACGCTTCATCTGTTGGAGTGGGGGCAGTACTTTCCCATTGCATCAATGGCACAGACTCTCCGATTGGATTTCCCCCCAGAACTTTGCCCAAAGCAGAACGAAACTACTCCCAGCTAGAAAAGGAAGCATTGGCCCTTGTATTCGGTGTGAAGGGATTTAAGGACTACTAATATGACAATCACTTTGTTTTGGTGACCGACCATAAACGACTGGCGGGTTTGTTTAACTCAGGAAAAGCTATTTCTTCCATAGCTCCGGCAAGGATTCAGAGGTGGGCTCTTCTCTTGGACAGTTATAATTACACATTGCAGTATCCCAGGGGAACCGAAAACTCAAATGCTGATGCCTTAAGTTGCCTGCCATTCTGAACGCGCAACACGATACCAGCACAGAAAATCTGCCAGAGTATGTCCTGTACTCGGAATGCTTGGAAAAAGAAGCGATTAGTGTCAGCGATGTGGTACATTTAACAGAAACGGATCTTCTGCTGCAGCAAGTTAAATTCTGGATTAAAAAAGGCTGGCCAAAATGTTCGTCTGAAGAGCAGAGCCGCTTCTGGTCGTACTTCAGCTAGAAGGCGATTAGTGCGTGGATGTCCTGCTTGTATACAGGCTGCGGCGATGCCTCCAGCGCAAGCACCTGTACCATGCCCACGATGCGAGAGAAATGGAGCCGGTTGCACGCCGGCTATGCAGCTCCCATTGAAGGACACATAGTATTGGTAGTTGTAGATGCTGAAACGAAGTGGATGGAGGCAGTTCTAATAAAATCTGCAACCGCAAAAGTAACAGTTGAGGCCCTGAGCGTTGTGGAGGCCCTAAGTGTTTGCGAGGTTCGGTCTACTATGTACTCTTACGACGGATATTGGACCTCAGTTCACGGGTTTCCGATTCCGCAGTTTCCTAGTGAAGAACCAAGTAAAACACTTGACGACAGCACCTTATCATTCCCAATCAAACAGTTTAGCGGAACGAGCTGTGAGAATATTGAAGGAAGGCTTGAAGAAAAACAAAGAAATTCCACTACAAACTCGACTTTCAAGATTTCTGTTCCATTATTGACGTACGCCACTGAAAGAGGGCAAGTCTCCAGCAGAGATTTTGCTGGGGTATCAAATACTAACAAAACTTAACTGCATTATGCCGACCATAGATGCTGTTAGAGCAAAGCCATGCAACGAACGAGAACAGCGATGGCCGGTAGAACAGCGTGTTTGGACACGAACGTTCCGACCACGGAAAAGGCCGATACCAGGTATCGTGCAGGACCATCAGGGCAAGCGCATAGTCACAGTGGACACGACTTAAGGAACAGAATGGCGGCATTTTGACCAAGTGCGACAGCAGGACGTTTCAGTTGACGAATCGTGCGATACCGACACGCTATCGGCCCGTCAAGAACTTTCGGGTGAAAGCGCAAAAGATTCACCAATTCCGGCGACTCAACTTTTGCGGCGCTCAATACAAAAGCGCCGCGCTCCCGATCGTTTGAACTTTTAAGAAGGGGAGAAGCTGTAGCATCGGAGGCTAACATCATATCACCAGCAAGAAGCGCGGCTCGCCGTTCTTTGTGATGCTCGCGCTGCACAGGAGCTCGGGTTCGCCGAAGCTCTGGCTGACCGGGAATAAACGACGTGCCACCTATGTTCTGTTGAGTCAGTGCCGTACGTTGCAACAACGGCTGCCAAGGAATGCAGCGGCAAGTCATCGCGACAATCCTACCACTGAGAAACATCTCAATAAATCTAAACCATGTACTGCCTGCATGGCAGTACATGTGGCTTATCAGTTTAGCGCTGTTACGGTTCATGTAAGCGTACTTACCGACTATGCCGTTCGCTGCCGTGCCATTGAGCACGGGGCCGCAATGCGTATCGCTTGTGAAAACGAAGGCAACTCGCTGCCACCGCATTGGCTCCACAAAATGGTCTTTACACCTTTGCTCGGTCTGTTGCTGAGCAAGCACAAAGAAAAAACTCTCTATGCAAGGGCAAATGCTCGCATATATGTAGTAGGGCACGGCGCTGATGGAGTGAGCTTAGTAGGCGATGCACTGCACGCAACTAGTTAGGGGCACGCTCAACTTGACGTACGATGGTAACGCATTTCATGTATAGACACCCCAGTTTTTGCTAATGGAACACTGTACAAATGTGTACATGTGAAGCCTGATGAGTCATGGTCAGCTGTGCCGCAGTTTCAGCATGTATACTCTCTTCATAGTTCCGGAATGATTTCATGATACCGGATATGGTCATGCATCTTAGAAGTGTGGCAGCTTGGCTAGATGACATGACGATAGTTATAGCATGAGAACAGAACGAGGACACAGAAACAAGGAGTGTCCTTCGTGTCCTTCTTGTCTCTGTGTCGTCGTTCTGTTCTCGCGCTATAACTATGGTCATCGTCATGTGATTAAGTTGAAGTGTTTTTCCGCGCAATGGAAAACATAGAAAAGGGT